GAAGATTCTGCAGTGTAGCAGAGCCACGTGCAGAAACAGCGCTTTCACAACACAACCAAAACAAATCGTTCACAGATCACAAGAGCGCACAAGAGCGCCCGCTGTAGTACGCTGAAGAAAGCGTCCAGCTTCCAAAAATGTTCAAAAAGTAATGGTTTGTGGTTTAGTATTTGGCAAAATGTACAGTATTTCTCCCATTTCTCCGTTTCAACAACAAAATAGAGTTCATGCATTGATTGATTGATTCCTTTTCAACTACCTAAATGCAACATTATCACTACTGCTGCTGTTGCTATCACTGCTATCTACACCCAGGGCGTCTGCGAGTTGGTCTTGAGGTAGAAGAGCGTGCTGGCGTTGGCCGGCGGCAGGTGCGACCGGTCGGCGTAGAAGCCCATCTCCACCTGGTACTGCCCGGCGATGAACTTCTCCACCGGCTCGTCAAAGTCGGGCTTCTCCGCGAGCACGTCGGCGGTCAGAAAGCGGCCCGGGTTGGTGATGCTCCACCCGAAGAGCTCCAGCGCCCGCAGGTGCGACCCGGCCACGGTGAAGGTGCCCGCGCCCGGCTGGTGGTAGCCAAAGTTGGGGTAGAAGTCCAGGTGGCCAATGGGTATCAGGCTGCCGTAGTGGTTCACGGGGAAGAACCACTCCGACGGGTCGAGCTTCGAGTCGTAGCCGTCGGTGTGGATGACGTCCACGAAGGGCGCGTCGCCCGGGTTCAGCGTCGGCGAGTTGGCCACCTTCTCGAAGCAGGGGCCGGCGGGGTCGAGGCCTGTAAAAGGAAGAGAAGTTAAAACAGTTAGAAGGTTTAGAAAATAGGGGTTAACAGTACTTACCGGTAATGCGCGACAACGCCTTCGACTCCCGTCCCGCGACGCCCATCACGTGCGCCCCCAGACTGTGGCCGATGCCGTAGATCAGCAGGCCGCGCTTCACCTCGCTAATTGCCCGGGTGTAGTTGGCCAGCCAGTGACCGACGGTCATCACATTGGAGGCGGCCTGGCGGTAGCGAAAGACGAGCAAATCGGCCCCGCCGCCCCAGCCGAGAATGGCCACCGTGTGCTCCTGGCCCTTGTTGGCCGCCGTCCGGTTCAGTATGTCGTCCTTGTAGGAGTGCAGCCAGTCGGTGTCGAAGTTGTTGTGGAAGCCGTGGGTGATCAGCACCAGGCGGGCGGAGTCGAGGAAGCCGCCGTTGAGGAGGGCGAGGGCCACCTCGCGCGGATTCGAGTCAAAGGTGGCCTGAATGTCGGGGCGGTTGCGGTGGTNCAAAAGGAAGAGAAGTTAAAACAGTTAGAAGGTTTAGAAAATAGGGGTTAACAGTACTTACCGGTAATGCGCGACAGCGCCTTCGACTCCCGTCCCGCGACGCCCATCACGTGCGCCCCCAGACTGTGGCCGATGCCGTAGATCAGTAGGCCGCGCTTCACTTCGCTAATTGCCCGGGTGTAGTTGGCCAGCCAGTGACCGACGGTCATCACATTGGAGGCGGCCTGGCGGTAGCGAAAGACGAGCAAATCGGCCCCGCCGCCCCAGCCGAGAATGGCCACCGTGTGCTCCTGGCCCTTGTTGGCCGCCGTCCGGTTCAGTATGTCGTCCTTGTAGGAGTGCAGCCAGTCGGTGTCGAAGTTGTTGTGGAATCCGTGGGTGATCAGCACCAGGCGGGCAGAGTCGAGGAAGCCGCCGTTGAGGAGGGCGAGGGCCACCTTGCGCGGATTCGAGTCAAAGGTGGCCTGAATGTCGGGGCGGTTGCGGTGGTAGAAGACCAGCTTCGGCTTGATCGTCTCAATGTCCCAGGGGTCGGGCATGGTGAGCAGGGTGACGTTCTTCAGCTTCTTCAGCACGGCGGCGCTCTCCTCGTGCACCTCCTCGAGGAGGCGCTCCTCCTCGGCGCGAATCGCATTCATCACCGGCTCCGATTCGGTGTCGTTCCGCGGCCAAAAGAGCGGCGGCGATGATCTTCTGGTTACTGTGGCTGCTGTTGTTGCGGCGGCTACTGCGGCCGCTGTTGTTGTCCGAAGCGGCGTCCAGGACGTGCAAAGGAGGAGGAAAGAAATGGTAAAGAGTGATTGAAGGAACATTGGGTAGGTCTTTTGCTGAGGGCTGCTGTGTTAGTGGTTAGCTGTTGCTGATTGCTGTGAGTTGCTGGCAAGAGTGGTAACAGGCAGGCAGGCAGACAGTGGAGTGCAAAGGTAATATCGGAATGGGGAGAGTGCGGGAGGTACAGGAGTTGCTGAGCAGATAGGAGGGGGATGCAGAGTATTGGTAGTTGCAGTAATAGTAGTGGTGGAAGCAATGAACGGAATGAGTGCAGATGTAGAAGAAAAGAAGTAAGAAGTAAACATGAGGAGAAACTTCGAGCTCTGAGAAACAGCAAGCTGAGAGAGAGACAAGCTGCTGTTGCGAGACAACCGACGAGTATTATGATGAATGCAGGAGGAAAGGCATGCAGATAAGGAAAAGCAGATAAGCAGAGAAAGCTGGTTACTTGAATGTGTCGCCAGTGAGGATATGCCGAGGATGACGGCGAAGACGGCGGAGATGCGCCTGAATGACTAGGACAACTAGGCGAGGGACTGGCTGAATGGCTGGCTGGAGTGAAAGAGCTGCGACGAGGACACCAAGCATCAAGAAGAGATCAGAGGGAGAAAGAGAAAGAGCAGGCGCAACAAGCACTGAAGTGCGGACAAATCGAACCAGATTGTTATCTTCCGCTTCTATCTGAGTAGAGGAGGTCTAGCCAAAAGAGAAGAGTGAGAGAGCGGATGCGTCAGCGGCAAATCTGAATCTTGTGATGGCCGATAAATTAGGATGGCTTGGATGTTGCAACCTTGTACAAGAGGATGCAAGTGGTGGTGGTGATGATCAAAAAGCTCAAAGCGCACTAAAGAGAAAAGAAGAGTGGGTTTGGCAGTTGTCAGCTGTTGTCTGCTGATGATCACAGAGGGGTTCCTTCAAGGTAAGGCAGGCAACAAAGGGATGACATCAGTGTGTGTATTATGCTAATGATGTTTTAGTAAGCTCCAGAGTGTGTCGCAACAGTGTCCACCGCTGTCTTCGATGTTGCTGTTGCTGTTGCTGTTATCACCNGTATTATGCTAATGATGTTTTAGTAAGCTCCAGAGTGTGTCGCAACAGTGTCCACCGCTGTCTTCGATGTTGCTGTTGCTGTTGCTGTTATCACCATCGAGGATGATGTCAGAGGATGATCTGTTGCGCATCAAGTGACTGCTGGCGGCTGGCGGCGCTCGCACCTTAGATCTGCTGCTAATGATGATAGGGAAAGCACCTTTAATTAGTTCAGATCACCCTCTTCAATCCACCCAAAACAGACATGACCCTCACAAAGACTTACCTCAAAACAATAGAAATCACAACAGAAAGAATCAAAAGAAAAGAATCCTCGCTGCTGCTGCGGCCGCCGCTGTTGCTGGCAGCAACTGAACAACAATAACAACAGAAGC